TGGTGGGACCGGGAAGCGTACGGGCAGGTTGCTGCGAACTTTCAGTGATGTTCTAGTGTCACTAACACGCTCGTAGCATTTGTATACTTGCTCTCTGGCGGCTCAATGTCGATAGAAAAAAAATATCAGAAAGGACTTGGGAAAACGAACCAGGAAGACCGGAGTAAACTCTGTGAGACGTATAAGAAGTATTATGAGACGGTGGCATACCCGGCCGTGAACCATGAGCTGGTGTATATACGGTTGTTTACATATGGCAAGCTGGTGTCTGGCGGCGCTTGACTGTACTGCGGCTTCAGACACACGGAGGATCAACACATTCTACCGGCCACTACTCGAACGTGTGCTAAAAATCAAGAATGAGCTGAATACTTTGAACTGGGACGAGTGGTAGTTTTACTGTAACAAATCACTGGGGGGGAAAACAGAATGGTGATGAAACTGGAGAATAATAAACTACACAGGAGAAGGGAATCAAAAAAAAATATTTTAAACTGGGCAACACAAAAAAAAAAAAAAAAACCTGCACTGGCCTGGCGTTACGTAGGTGCTGAGTAGTCAGTAGACACTATGATGATGTACGAGCTGCCGTAGACGCTGAAGCTTTGCTGGCTTGGGGCTAAGCCAACTGGGTTCCACGTGGTTAAGCCGGTTAGACCTTCTTTGGAGGAACTCTACTTCTTGTAGCTGAGAGAAGGGCGTAGGGACGCTGTAGGATTGGCAGGAGGAATGGTGCTGGAGAGGTGTTGAAGGGGACTGTAGACTGAGGTTGTGAGAGGGTGAAACGTGCTGCTAAGGTGGAGATGGACGCTTGTGATGCTAATGTCCATGATTTTTGTCCCTGTGGGGAAAAAATTAGGACGAAGATCTATCTCGGGTACCGTTCAAGACGCTGGGAAAGTATGCAGTTAACCTATTAGCGCTAGCAGCGTGAACCATGGCGCTTGGTCAGGACGACGGCCTGATGTTTGACCTTGGTTGTCGACCGATCCCCTCCACCTGTATAGTGAGCTCACTCACATGCCGCTTGTTCACCGCTGTCACCACCGCGTTATTGCTGTTCTTACTGTTTTTGAACAGCCGGTTTAGTGCGATGAAGGTGCGTAGTGTAGCAAGATGATACGGCGTGGACCTAGAATTTTTGGCTTTAATCGGCGTTACGGATGACGGAGTACACCAACCGGGACAGTGTGAGGAAAGTGACCGCACCGCCAGTCCGTGGAGCGCGGGGAAAACTGGTGTTACGGCAGGTCGGTCCAGGCGGGGAGTGTGAGAGGGTGGACTGTGTGTCCCACGACTAGGTAGGCCTACACGGGAGGGCTAGCACTGAATGCCGCGAAATATGAACTAGTCAGAGCAGACGGCTAGGCTGCCTCTCGTGCTCTGCCAGTACAGGCTTTGTCTACACTCTCTCTCTCTATATCTCTCTCTCTACTCTCTCTTCTCTTTCTTCTCTCTCTCTCTCTCTCTCTCTCCTCTCTCTCTCCTCTTCTCCTTCCTCTCTCTCTATCTCTCTCTCTCTCTCCTCTCTCTCCTCTCTCTTCTCTCTCTCTCCTATCTATCTATCTATCTATCTCTCCCTCACGCTTTGTGTTTTGAAGGCCTGTTTTACAGCGTTGTTTACATTATTCATGTACTATAATTGGGTAATTAGTCTAACTGTTTGGTCACCACAGTCATCAACATTTTCAAAAGTCTTCATTTTCAAAAAATTTTCATCACATTTTTTTACACTGACTTTCTGTGTCCACCTATATAAATTGGAAGAACCTGATTGGTATATTGTTTCTCCCTTGCAAGGTAAGAAATGTGTGCCCGCCCCGGAGACCTGCCTCACCTGCTCATTGGTAATTATAACCTCAGGTTACCTGTTGGCTCCCTTCATCACAGATATCCTCGCAGTGCCGTTGTTGCCGTGCTCGCTGAGAGAGTATACCTGTTCCAATTACCGTTACTATTTAGGAATAACTGAGTCATTGTTCTTATCAATAAGCCCCTGATCCTCTCGGGCCATGCCTATGTTTCTCTGGATCTAGGGGCCCGCGGGAGCGTTGATCCACGGTCCTAATAACCTCCAGGTCCTTTGTACGTTGAGCCCACGTACGCGTGACTTGAACCTGCCTTAGTACTGGGACCAGTAGGCATGCTGCAGTGCTCCTTATGTGTGGCAGAAGGTGTCTCCTCAATTTTGTGTGGTAACTGCTAGGTCGACGTCTTAATGGGTTTCGACCTGAGGTTACTTTTATTGGCGCACGGGTAAGTGGACGTTACAAGTCCACTGTTTACTGTCAGTGACCATGGAAACTGAAACTTGGCTCCTTTTAAACTTTGCCAGACTGACGGTGAGTTTGTTAGCATTCGGACAAAGAACAAAAAATGGTCGAGCGTAAACAAAGCGGTGGATATAAAGAAACATTTGTGCTGTTGTATTGTCTTGTGTAGCTGTGTCCATTGGTAATTATGTTCTTGATAGATGTGTATAACAATATACACATTCGCCAGCCAACGCGAAAAAATTAAACAGCTGCCAGTGTCACTTCTTATATAGTGCAGTGTTGCCTTCCTTTCTGCAGTCTGCAGTGTTTTCCTTCTTATATGCAGTGCAGTGTTCATTCATTCTCTGCATGTGCAGTGTTCCTTCTTTCTGTCTAGCTGCAGTGTTTTTCACCCTTTTCCTTTCTGTTGCTGCAGTCTTCCTTCTTTCCTGTAGTGCAACCAGTGCTTCACTTCTCTTATGCAAGTGTAGTTGTTCCTTCATTTCTTGTAGTGCAGTTGTTCCTTTCCTTTATGTAAGTGCACAGTGATTCTTCTGTTCTGATAGTGCAGTGTTCCTTCTTTCTGAAGTGCTAGTGTTCCTTTCTTTTCTGGCAAGTTGCAGTGTTCCTTCTTTCTGCAGGCAAGTGTTACTTCTTTCTGCAGTTATGCAGTGTGCCTTACTTTTCTGCAGTGTAGTGGTTTCCTCTCTTTCTGTAGTCTGCAGTGTTCACTTCTATCTTGCAGTGTGTGTTCCTTTCTTTCTTAGTCGTACACAGTGGTCTTCTTTCTGCAGGCCCTGTTGTCACTTCTTTTGCAGTTGCAGTTTGTTCCCCTTCCTTTCGGACAGTGTAGTGTTCCTATTCTTTCGGCAGCGCAGTGTTCCTTCTTTCTGTATGTTGCAAGGTGTTTCTTTCTTGCGCACAGTGCTGCTCTAGTGTTCTTCATGCAGTGCAGTAGTTTCCTCTTCATGCAGATGAGTGTTCTATTCTTTCTGCAACGCCTGCTCACAGCGTTATTTTTCCTCTTCTTGCCAGTGCAAGTGTTTTTCTGCATAATGTGTAAATCAGTGTTTCATTCTTCTCGGCAAGTGCAGTGTTCTTCTTTCAGGCAGTGCAAGTGTTCATTCTTGACACGTGCCAGTGCTTTCTTCTTTATGCAGTGACAACTGTTCATTATGCTCACCGTGAAGTGTTTATTTCTTTCTGCAGTTGCAGTGTTTCTTCTTTCTGCAGTGCAGTGTGTTCCTTCTGCAGTGCAGGTTTCTTCCTTTCCTGCAGTGCTGAGTTTCTTCTTTCCTGGCACGTGCAGTGTTCCTTCTGCAGTGCACGTTGTTTCTTTTCTGCAGTGCAGTGTTCTTCTTTCTGCAGTGCAGTGTTCCTTCTGCACTGCAGTCGTTCCTTCTGCCAGTGCAGTTGTTTCTGCAGTGCAGGGCTTCCTTCTGCTAGCGCACTGCTGTTCCCTTTGCTGTATGCTGGGTTGTCACAAATGTGTTTCTTCTTTCTGCAGTGCCTCAGGGCTGTTCACTTCCTGCACAGTGAAGTGTTCCTTCGTGCAGCTGCAGTGCTTTCTTCTTTCTGCAGTGCTAGTGTTCATTCTGCAGTGCACTGCTGATTCCTTCTGCAGCTTGTGCCCTCCGGCCAGTTTGGTTCTTTCCGCATTTCTGACAGTGCAAGTGTTCTTCTGCCAGTGCAGTTGTCTTCCTATTGCAGTAGCAGTGTCTTCTTTCTGCAGTGCAGTGTTCCTTCTGCCAGGTGCAGGTCGCTTCCTTCTTTTTTTTATGCGAGATCGTGAACATGTATCATAAAGACTGTAATTGGTCAGTGTTTACCTCATGCTGAGTGAGCCGTACCCTCCTTATTTAAAACAAAATACTTCTCTGGTTCAGTAACAATGATCTCATTGGAGTGTCGTATCATTCCTAGGCGTGTGTAAAACTCCTCCCGGGTTTTTTAGCGCGCTTGCCCCCATTAAATGTAAAAAAAAAAAAA